AGGGGCCGGGAAGAAGGGGGGGAGGGGAAAGGGAAAGGGAAAGGCGGGCGCGGCGCCGTCGAGGTCGCCCGGGACCCCTCCCCAGACTGCCACCCCTGCAGCCGAAGCGGCGGCGGGGTGGCTTCTCCGTTTCCGTTTTCGTCGCCTGCGCCTTTCCACTCTTTTTCCCTCTCCGCCTCGCCTCCCTGAAGCGCCCGCGCGTTGAGGGGGGCCGGGCGAGGCCATTCGAACGACGGCGGAATCGACGACGGGCGGCTGCTCGACGACGGCCCCCCCCTTCCCCTCCCCGTCTCCCGCGGCGTCGTCGGTGGATTTCGCGGGGGCCGCGGTTTTTTTCATTTCCTCGGCCTGAATCCGCGCGATTTCGGCGCGAAGTTTCTCCCGCTTTCGTCGGGTGCTTTCCGTTTCAAGCGGGGTCCCGCGCGTGAAGCCGCGACGGCGTAAGGCCGCCATGAGATCGGTGAGTTGATCCGCCGTGAGCGGGGCGCCGGCGCCGACGTGGGAGGGGCCATCCTCGTTGTCGAGCGCCATCAGCCGCCGCATCAACTCCGTGCTGCGGAGCTCGTCGAGGGAGTAGGCGTCGGGGTTTAAAAGCAGCTTTCCTAACAGCGCGGGATCCAAATCGGCGAGGTCGATGCGCCCCATGGGGGCGGCGGGAGGGGCATCGGGATCGTCGCGATCCCCCATCCGCGACGCCACGGCCGCCTCGGTGGTTTTCAACAACTCATACAACAAAGCCTCCCGCGCGGGTTCGCGAAAGAGGTGATCCGCGAGCTCGACGTTTTGCGCGCGAAGGACCTCTTGCAACCACGATTTCCGCGCGTGTAACTCGGCGCGTTGGGCCTCGCTGAGGGTTGCGGTCAAGGCCGCTTCGGGGGGTTTGGAACCCCCGCGCCCCCCCTCCTGCGCGAGGCTGCTCGCGGAGAGCTCCAATTCATCGCCGGAGTCGCTATGGAGGTAGCGGGAGAGCTCGGAGCTGTTGAGGTCGGTGCTGCTATCCGCGTGGAAGCTGAACCCCACTTGGGAATAGCGCGCGCTGCGGAGAGGCCCTCGCCGTTTCGCGCGGTTGCCGGAGCGAATCACCCGACATCGCCGTCGCCCCCGACGTTTCGAGCCCGTGCGTTCGCGCCTTTCCCCCTCCCCTTCCCTTTCCCCGTTCTCGCCCTCCAGCGCGGCGATGAAATCGTCCAAATCGCTATAACTCCGATCCATCTCTTCCACGGTGGTGAACGACGACCACGTCGTGTTTGCCGACGACGCGTCCTCGTCGAGGCAGCCCTCCTCGCGGGCCCGCCCCTCGAAGCGGCGGATCTTCCGTGGGGGCTTTTCCAAGGCCTCCCCGCCCGCGCCTTTTTCCGAAAACGCCCGATACGCCCCTGGGCGAACCAAGGGGCGTTTCCGCAACGGCCCCCTCCCCCCCTCCCCAGGGTGACGGAAAATGCTGTGGAGGCTGCCAAACTCCCCTCGCGCGGGTTCGCGATCGCGGCGGAGAAACCGGCGTCGGCGATACACCCGCCCTTCCTCCGGGCCCGTGAGGTATTCGAGGAGGTACGCGGCGGTCCCGGCGGCCCCCCCCGCGGCCTCCGCGCCGGCGGCGATCCGGATGGTTTGCCGGCGAAGATACACCGGCTCGCCTGTGGGGGTGTGGAGGATTTTGAGGTACCGCCAGCCGTCTTTTTTCGTTCGCCCGGTCCAGTCAATGCCGTCGTCGCCGCCGGCGAGGAGCTCCTCCACGGGGCGGCCGTCAAAGCCGTCCACCGAGGACGCCGTCGGGCCGCGGAGGCCCGTCAGGAAGGTCTCCGGGTTCACCCCGACGCCTTTATCCCGACTCAGCTTCGTTCGCTGCGCCGGGGTCAGGAATTGCTCGACGAAGACGTCCGAATCGGAGCTATCCCAGGTCTCCAAGGCTTTGAGGATCTCGTTGAAGGAGTTGATCATCCCGTCGGACTCGCGCTCGCGCTCGAGCTCGAGCTCGGCCGCGGTGGAACCCCGGACCCGATGCTCACCGCCCGGCAGGAGGTCGAACGAAACCAAACTCCCACGTCGGTCTTTCAGCGTCGCGATCGATTCCGCCTCGTCGGAGTCCCAGTCGAGGGAGAACACATCCATGTAAAGGCCGATGAGGAAAACCGCACACTCCAAGGGATTCCCCGCCGTGCAGGTCCAGTTATCCGCCAACTCCATCATGGAGGCCCAGAATTGGAGATAGGAAAGCCCGGGAAGGGTTCGAACCTCCCATCCGGCGAAAAAATTCTCCGCGGAGGGAGGGGGTTGGGGTTGGGAGTCGATCGAGATGAACTCCCGCGTGGCGCTTTCGAAGACCGGCGAGGCGTACCCGTAGGGCGAGGCGCTCAAATTCCCCTCCGAAAGGCTTTGAAACGCGTAGGGCGAGCTAAGAAGGGAGGATTGGGAGTGCAACGACGTCAACCCGGCGGAATCCAAACGGGAGGGATCCGATTTTCCCCCGCCCCCCGGCGTTTCTCCCGGGTACCGCACGACGGCGAAAGGGGTGTAGCCGAAGTACATATCCCGCTTTCCGTGATTCGGATGGCGATACGCGCTATCGATGATCAAATCCTCGACAATCGACTCCACCAGTTCGATCTCCGTCTCCGGCCCGCTCTCGGCGAACGCGGTGGCGGGCAAAATCACGTGCGCGATGCGAAGGTTCAGGTAGAGGTATTGCAAGGCCGTCATGGTGGTCGCGACGGTGGGGAGCGTCGAGGCGGCTTTACCGCCCCCGGCGTTTTTGCTCCGCGAGGACGACGTGGTTTCCCCCCCTCCCCCTCCTCCTCCATTTCCACTTTCCCGTTCCCCCCCCCCCCCTCGTCCGATGGATTTCGTCGGCGAGGGGGCGATCGATTTCGTGCGTTCCTTTCCCCGCCCGGTGAGTTTGCCTGGGAAGGGGGGTTGCCGGCCCCGAAACGACGCCGCGATCGATTTGCGCGACCCCCGCTCGCCGCCGCGTTTGACGGACGGGCGGGCTTTCCCCCCCCCCCCCCCCCCCCTTCGTTCGGATTTCCCCCCCCCCCCTCCATTGGGATTCGACGAGGGGGCAAACGTCGCCCGTCGCGCGTTCGTGTGCGCCTCCACCTCCGCCGACGAGACGGTGAGGCGATCCCAAAACCGACGAATCACCCCATTCACCGTTTCATGCACGGCCATCGCGATCGCGGCCGGTTTACAGGTCGAGCTGGAAACCCGCAAAATTTGATCGTAGCAGTCGGAGATGTGCTTCCACCGCACATCCTCGTCCTCGCGGAGGGCGCGGAGTTCGTCGTCGTCGATTTCGTCCTCGGCGGCGGCGGCGAGGAGGCCTTTGGGGGATTTTTCCTGCCGCGCCGGCGTGGGATGGCCCCCCCCCCCCCCTTCCCCGCCGTTGCCGTCGCCATTTCCAGGGTGGCCCTCGCGAAAGGTCGAGGCGGGGTGTTTTTTGGGCGGCTTCGGAAGCCTCCGGGAAGGCGGTTTGCGCCCAGGGGGTCGGGACGGCGAGGCCGACGACGGGGTCGTCTCCAGACCGGGCGAGGGGCCATGTGCGGATCCGTAGCGGTCGATATGGCGTAAAAACAAATTCACGTAATTCTTACACGCGATCTTCAGCGCGGGGAAGTCGCCGTAGTTTAACAACCCAAGCCGCGAGCTCGTGGCTTGCAGGATGGGGAGCGCGGAGGCATGGTATTTCTTCCCGCCATGCCCGCCATGCCCGCCTCGATCCCCTTGCTTAAGCCCTTCTTTGAGGAGAAAGGAAAAGACGTTGGAGAAGCGTCGGCTGTTGCCGAGGTCGTCGGGGGAGCTCCGGCGATTCGGACTTTTCGAGTCCTGCATGGAATAGGAGAACGACACCCGCTCCATGCTCCCACAGCTTTGATTGCCATTGATCATCGACATGGAATGCAGCTCTTTTTCGCGTTTACTAAACCCATCCAAGGCCTCGTCGATGTTGTCGAAGGTGCTTCGTCGGATCTGATGCTCCGAGCTGGAGCGGCGGGAAAAGCTGCTTTGATCCGTCGTCAACTCATCCTCCTCGCGGAGCTGATGGCGGTGGAGTTTTTCGATAAAATAAAACTGCTTCGTCGCCATCGCGAGCGCGGGATGCCGGAGGGAGTTTCGCTTGCGATGGGAAAACGAACTCACGCGTGGGTGGAGCGCGATGAGGAACTTCACCTCGTTTGACGATTTCTGCAGCAGCGCAAGCCGCGTATCCACCGGAACGGAGGTGCATAACGAGACGAAGAGGGATTTGATCACGCGGACGTCGTTTCGAGTCCAGGAGTTGTCGGCTGACTTGGGAGAGCTCTTGCTCGCCATCGTGGAAATCTCTCCTTTTTCGTTCTTTCACAAAAAAAAGGGAATCTCCTCAAATATATATATATATATATATATGTATATATATATATATGGAAAGCAACGGGGAGGAAAGCAAAAGACATAACGAGAAATTTGATCCCAACAATAGCAAGAATCATAAACAAGCGAAACAAACCACACTAAAGGCTCCGTTCCATCAACACATGTTGAATAAAGAGAGTTTTCTCCTTTTATTTTCCATGGGCAAACGTTCCTGGACTCAAATAGAAAAGCGAAAAGAATGAAATGCATATGTGCAGATAAAAGATAAGTCCTTTCTCTTATGATATGAATTTTTTTCTTTTAAATGTTAAGCACAAACCTTTCGCTTCTCCCTCTTCCTTTCATTCTTCTCACTGCTTAAATACATATTCATTATTATTGATATTTATCTTTTATTACAGTTATATAAATAAGCCTCACAATATATCATGAAAATTCACTATCCCATTTTCACATTTCTCACCGCATAGCTGGAGATAAAATCCATGGCAAAACCGAATTTAAATCAGCAGCATCTTAATTCCTTTACGCAAAAGCAAAAATTTTAATAATAGTAGACTCTCCAAGAATGTTTATGATAAAAATAAAACTTGATAAGGTTATAGATAATGAGCATCCCCATTAACACAATAACAGTAAAACAAGCAAAAAGGAAAGCGAATGAAAAGGGTACCATCATAGTTATTTTTTCATTCATTCATTCGCCTCTGGCCTGATTTGATGAGCTTCTTCGTCTAGGCGGAGGGGGCTTGTTCGTCAGTGTGGTCAATCTCAATCCAGAAGAGGTACTTCATCTTTCTACTCCCCTGCCTTGTCGCTATCCACCCTCTTATATCCTGTGAAGCTCCACACCAATGAACCAAAACACAAAAGGAAAAAAAAGAAAGCGAAAACAAGGAAAAAATAGTTACACAGACCCAAGTATATGTATCCCTTCTTCTATTCATTCTCTCTTCCTTTTCTTTCTTCTCTCTCTCTCTCTCTCTCTCTGTTTCCCCCCTTCCCTTCCTCCTCCTCTTCCTTTTGTTCGCTTTTTCCATTTTTCTACATCATCGCGTACTGCCGCGTCCACTCTGCCGCGGTCTTTTCAAAAGCCGCTTTATCACTTTTGTATTGCCGTGCGATATCGGGCACCAACGGATCCTCCGGGTTCGGATCCGTCAGCAGCGAGCAGACGGAAAGCAGCACCTTCGAGATCGTCAGGGCGGGCGACCACTGCTCCTTTAGGATATCTAGGCAAATCCCCCCGTTGCTGTTGATGTTTGGGTGATAAATCTTCGTCATGAACTGGACTCGTGGCGGTTTAAAAGGGTAATCGGAGGGGAAGTGGATCTGGAGGAAGAAAAGACCACCCGCGTAGGGTGATTTCTCCGGCCCCATAATGGTCGCATGCCAGTGGAAGATATCCGACTCGTTGACAGGGCCGCCGCTGAGGTTGGCAGGCGGGTCTTTCACCAAGTCCTTCAGCTCCTTTTGAATCCGACGAAGGGCCATTTTTCTCTTTTTTTTTCTTTTTAACGGTGACCTTAACTTTTTGGTTTAAATCGAATATGATGTAAAAAAGATGTGGCTATAATATAATATATATACAAATAGATATATAGTAAATATATACAATAAGCTGTTATTCCTTGGCGCTGTTTGTGTATATATTATATGTTAGGGTCTAGGTTTCAGAACACCACTAAAAAAGTGAAAACTGAATCACCAAGATATTAAAGAATAATAATAATGATGATTGAAGAGTGCAAGAAAGCTCTGATCTTGCGCATATAATTTGCCAATGATCGTGAAGAGAACAAATATGGGGAAACGAGGGGAGAATTGATAGAAAGAACACCATTTCGCGAAAATGCAGCAAGGAAAGGCAAATGTTTCGTTTGGTTGATAATTTTGAAGGACCAATCAGGAGTGAAGGATTCTACCCCCTCCCCCCCCCTCTCCCTTCGCTCCTCGGAATCCTTCTTAACATTACAATTTCACAGAGGTTGAAATAGGACGAATTAGGATCAAACAAAACCAATAACCACCACCACTACACTACCCCCCCTTCCTCCATCATCCTATCCATCCATCTCATTTCCTCCGTAGACGGATTCGTCGGGAAGGCTACTCCGCACGCCGCTTCTTCACCGCACGCGGGGTAAACGAGATCGGGGTCGGTTTTCCACCCTTTTCGTTCAACTCGTGAGGGGGCGATCGCGTTGAATTTTCACCTCGACGCCCCCCTCCTCCCCCTTCCCGCTTCACACGTGTCGTCGCCACGGTGATCCCCGGGGCGGCCGTGGAAATCACCACCGGATGCCCGTTAAACACGCGCGGGCTGCCGTCGAGAAGACGATCCGCACACCGCCGCGCGAGTTCCTTCTTTTCGGAGGAAAATTCCCCACAATCCCCCTGCGTTTCGGAAGAAGTCAAGGCGTTCGAAAGCGGGGGTTTTCGTCGCCGCCATTCCTCCGGAGTCGGGGGGCGAAACTCCACCAAAAAGTACGGCTTTCGCGAGGTCGCGGCGTAGACGACCTCCACCGGGGCGTCCGAGCGAAGGACGGAATCCTCCGTAAACCACTCCGCAATCCCGAGCTCCGCCCGCAAATCGAAGAGGAATCGATTCACGAGCACATGACGACTTGGGATCGCCGGGCATCGAATAAAAAGCGTCGGAACGGTAGACATGAGGCCCTGTTCCTCCTTCCCTTTCCTTTTGTCGGTTTTGGAGAGGGTTGATGTCTAATAAATGTAAAAAACGAATGGGCTCTCCCCCGTTGAGATAAGAATTAAAAAAAAAGCTACGAAAATGAAAAGGTCATACCTGTGGAAGGAAAATGCATAATCGAAGGAATTATCATGACGTCATGAAAGAACCGTTTAGGGTAAAACCCACTGACAGTTGGTTTTATTTTTCTCGTATTTGTGAGGGGGTATGGAACGATACGAACGGTGAATCAACCCACCAAGCAAGCAAGCAAATAAACACCCCACCCTCCTAAGTTTTTTTCCACCCCACATCGATGCGATACCCAACAAGCCGGGGTTAAACTACATCGAGAGAAGACGAAAATAGCACCCCCTCCCCCTTTCCTCTTTTTGTTGGATTCTTCCCTCCCCCTCTCCCCTTTCGCATACAACCGAGAAATAAAATGATGCTTACCATCATCCTAAACAACCCGAAAAGGAGTTTGCATACAAGGGAAGGACGAACAGGGGAATGAGGGGTGTTTCATCCCTTCCCCCTTCCCCTTTCTTTTCTCTTTTTTCTTCATCGTTTCTCCTCTTTCTTGCGTTCAGAGAGGGTGTTTTAGGGCGCGCTCCATCGCGGTGTAGGTCTCCCGCAGCTCCGCAAACCGCCAGTCGAGGTCGAGGTCGAGAAACCGTTTCTCGCGAAGCTCCTGCACCCGCGCGGCGTCCTCGTCGAGCTGGCGAAGCAACGACCAATCCCGCAAAGGGTGGAGGCGTTTCACCCATTTGGAGGTTTCGAACGCGCCGATCCCTTCGCTTTCGAGAAACGCGTCGTCCACGCTCAGCCGAACCCCTCCTACCTGACGACTGTAGAGGGTATTAAGAATTTGAGTGGCGCGATACGGCATCAACCCGGCAAGCGGCGTCGTAACCGCACGAAACCCCCCGTCGGAGTTGAAAATCGAACGTCTAAGGACCAACGAAAGTCGCTGCGCTTCGACTGGGAGGATCATGTGGAAATAAACATACCGCGCGGGGCCGGAGAGGACGTAAATCGAGCGATCCGGAATCATCACATCCAGCTCCTCCCCATTCTGCACGTGAACAAGGCGAAGAAGCGCGTTGGCGCCGAGCGAAAGCAACACGAAGATGTCGTCGTAGACGAAGAGGTTGTCGATATGCGCGCGGATGAAATCGCCGGGGTCGAAGAGATTGGCGGTTTGATTGTTTAACCACCCAACAGGAACGATCTGATCCTGCTCCATTCGCTCGACAATTTTAATAAAAGAACTTGGCGGGAGCGGTGGGAGCTGCAGACGACCGTCGCTGACGGTGATGGAGTTCGACTTGCGCGTGTAGATATCCACGTAGCCTTTGCGCAGCTTCAGGATCTCATCCTCCTGGATGTAGTTGGGGATAATCGTGAGGCCGAAGTCCTCCCCGAAGGGACAATAGGGCTCCCCTGCGGCGAGGTATTTGAGGCTTTTGCCCTCATGGAGGTGCTTGGCGACGCTCAGAATCTTTTTTAACATGCGTTTTTTCCCCTCTAAATAAAAATAGAAGAAGAAGAAAAACACTATCTCATTCTAAAACAATAACGGAAAGAAGAAAAAAAGGTATAAATATCGAGCCGTGTCGTTAGCGTGTATTCATATATTCACAGACATAAAGAGTTAACCACATCCACCACCATTGATCGCGGTATAGTTGCAGACGTCCGATAAGCGAAAGATATTTTTTATTGCCATTTATTTTAAGCTGCAAAAATGTACCGAATCATCATTTTTTATTGTTCTTTTTTTTGGTGTGTGGGGAGGGAAGGGAAAGAGTCATGCTGAATGCGAAACAATCCAAAAGGGTTGGATGGGGAAAATCGGGAGAACCCCCATTTCTCCAATTTCCCGAACACCCCACCACCGCGTCTTTTCCATCTGCGAGCGTACCCCGGCGTAGCAATTCGTCAGCAGTTGTATTTGGCGATGTTTTTCTTCCTGCGATAACGCAGCTTTGCCTCGCCGATAACGGAAGCGTTGACGCCCTTGAGGACCTCCTTAATGTTGTGCGCGCGGGCTTTTTTACTCCTCGCCCGCTGATCCTCATCGAAAAAGCTCGGCAGGCGGGGCAGGCCCGGTTGCCCGGGATCCGTTTCGTTTCCAACCGCCTCCGAGGTGGAATCCCGGGCGCGTTTGCCGCGTTTTATTTCCCCTTCTCTGAACGCCGAAGGGGCCGTGGGGGTTGGCGGAAGGGTCGGGAATTCATACACCAACCGCGCCGGGATCGTCGTTTCCGTCGCGGAATCCTTTTGGGAATGCGCGACGACGTCGCGGGTCTGGGTGATCGCCGCGGGCGGGACCAACTCCACGACGCGGTATTTATGATACGGCCACAACTTCACCCCTCCACAGACATCCACGCCGAGCAGCCCCCCTCCGGCGAGGGTTTCATCCATCAACAACCGGCCTTCCCCGAAAACCCGGGCGGGGTAAATCGCGTGATGCTCCAACAACATCCGCTTTCCTTGAATCTCCACCGCACACCACCCCGCGAGGTCCCGGGCGCGGTGGGTTTCGTAGCTTTGGAGGTGCGTTTTCGTTGCGCAGTGCGCGAGGACCCCACGGGGCGTCGCGATCACCCGCGCGAGATGAAAATTCCCATCACACCACGACGTCCACGAGGCGGGAAGAGGGGGGAGGGCGTCGATCCCGGCCGCGGGCGCCGCCGCCGGGCTCGATTCCGATCGCATTCGCGTGCAGAGGCCGCACCACAACGTCTGGAGCGCCGCGTCGTAGCGGAGACCCTGATCGGCGAACCGCTCCGCGAGCTCCACAGGGGTTTCCGTTTCGTTCTCGAGCTCCTCGCGGGGTAAACTCGGCGAAAAAGAATCCCCGTGTTCGTTGATTTCGAAAGCCTCGGTGGAAAGACCCTGGGGCGAATCCGTGGAATCGTCTTCAGGGGCGGAAGACATGCTGGTCGTCCGCACGACCCCCTCCGTTTTCTTATTTTTTTTTTCCGAAATGGGAGGGTTCCCTTTGGTTTCTTTGCGTCTGGTTTTTCGTTATCCCCCGCAGACCATGGGGAGCTAGGTGATGTAGTGCTTCGTGAATGGGATTCGGAATCATGGGGGAATGGGAGGGGTCATATCAAGCGTGCAGATGCCCACATCTGGAAATTTAAGGGATCACAAAGTCTACTGACAATGAAGGGGTCTTTTTTTGTTGTTTGTTAATATATAGAGAGAGCCTGTTTTTCTTTCCCATTCCCCTTCGCACCGGCTTGTTGTACTTACATGGCGTTTGCCCAAACGCGTAAGAAGAAATCCTCCAATTCTCCTTAAGCACCTCTCCCGGAAAAAAAAGGTTAACTATTATGACTACGATTAGCAACCCATGCCTTTCTTTCACCAGCTATACGATTAAATCAGGAAAACAAATTGATATCATGCGCAGCCCCTTTTCCCGATCTCTCTCTCTCAACGAAGAGAGCATCACAATGAGATGGAGATCCCGTTTTTTCTTTTGTCCCCCTCCATCGCGCTACAAGGTTGGTTTAATACGCCTCATAGCTTCATCAAAGTGCTCCTGCGTCATCTGAGGTAATTCCCCCAACTCCCCACGACCGCTCATCTCTCGCAAGGGGATTAACGCGGCCGCCTTGCATAGCTCCATCAAATCCGATCCCGTATACCCGGAGGTTTTGATCGCGACGTACTGAATAAGTCCTTCTTTCAGCGGATTCTTCTCTAAATCGTACTTAAGAACGATACGAAGGATCATCTCTCGCGCCTTTAAGTCAGGCGGCGGCACCTCTATTTGCAGCGGCATCCGCCGTCGGATCGCATTGTCGATCGTGAGAGAGCGGTTGGTCGCGCCGACAACGATTATGCGGGCGGAGTTTTTCTTTTCTAACCCATCCCAATGCGTCATAAAAATCGTCTTCGCATGGGTATGCGGCGTCGAATCCTGGAAGTTGCGCACCCCGAGTAAGGCGTCAATCTCGTCAATAAAAATCACGCAAGGGGCGATCTTTTCCGCCAAGGTAAAGATCGCCGCGGCGTTCTTCTCCGTATCCCCAACCCACTTCGAAAAGATGGATTCCACCTTGACGTTGATGAAGGAGCAACCGAGCTCTTTTGAAAGCGCGCGAGCGAGGAGGGTCTTGCCGGTGCCCGGCGGACCATACAAAAGAACGCCCTTTGGATGCGAGCGCACGGACCTCCCATCGAACAGCTCCGGTCGTTTAAAAGGCCATATGATGTGCTCCGTCAAGATCTGCTTCACCTCTTGCAACCCCCCAACATCCTCGAAGGTTTCTTCAATCTTATCAATGTCGATCACGTTGCTCGCGATCTCCTCCTCAGCGGACGTAACCAGGACGGATCTGCCACCAACGATGCAGCGCTTTCGGCCGATGCCGTGATTATAGGTGAGTTTTCGCGTTACATAAATCAAAACGCAAATGTAAATCCAAAAGTAAACGGGTGTGCTCGCGATGGAACGGCCGATTTGTCGAAGGGCATTCTTAAAGGGATTCAACACTCCCATCAGGAGGCTGTTGCGACCTACTAGTTCAGTTGCGGAAGACGGGGAGCCGAACATTAGCAAAGCCTGACCTAGAATCGAATGAGAGGGGGAAAAAGAAGGCAATTCTCAAATTTTGCTGATAAAGCAGAGCTTATTATGTTGTGATACGCTGGCTACCCCTTAAAATATGTGTGTGTATACATGCAAAAGGAACAGAGACGATGAGGTGGGAAAAAGGCGCATTTTAAAACCTATTATGCTCGTAATCATACCACAGAACTTCCCCTCTCTTGCTCACACGCTCAGTTCGATAGCCGTTTTAAATTCTTAATGTAAAAAAAAAAACAATAACTACAACCACATCAACAGAAAGAAAGACCCGTGGCAAGCAATTGATCAATTAAACTACTTCGTATTACTATGTATTTCATGTAGGTCGTGATGACTTTCCCTCTATCGATTATTGAAAATAAATGTCAATTAATATTACTTTAAAAAAGGGGAAAGCAAAATGGTTATTCCGGCATCAACGTCGACTTGAGCTCCCCCTCCTCATGGAGCTGCTTACACACGTCGTAGCCGCCGATCAACACTCCGTTCACGTAAACCTGCGGAAACGTCGGCCAGTTGCTGTAACGCTTCAACCCCTCACAAACCTCATCGCTCGCCATGACGTCGTAATACACAAAAGGCACCTTCAACGTCTGTAAAAGCCCGCAAAGCCTTCCGGTGAACCCGCACCGTGGATGCGAAGGGGTTCCGGTGATAAACGCCACCACCCCTGGGCGTTTCGTCAGGTAATCAAGATACCCATCAAGGGTATCGAAATCCCCCCGTTGGCTTCCCCGCCCACCGTTTTCGCCGTACAGGGAGAGGAGATTACGCTCGATGAGATCGAGCTTCGCGCCGGCGACCGCGGCGACCTTCTCGAGGCCGTTTTCCGATCCCGACGACGCGTCCGTGGTGCGGTAAAAAACCACAAAAGGCACGGCGTCGACGCCCACCAGCTCGCAAATTTCCCCCTCCACCTCGGCGTCGACCTCGGCGAAGAGAAGGACCTCGCGGTAGGCCTCGGCGGCGGCCTCAAGGGCGGTCCGCACCGCCCCGCACGGCTCGCACCACTTCGCCGCGAAGTGCACCACCAGACCTTTGAAAGAATCCGAGGAAACCCTTTGCTGTAACGCGCGGAAGGATTCCAACGAGGAGACGTGAATCATAACTCCCTCACGTGCAATAGTAATAATAAAATACTAATAAATAAATAAAATGAAGACTAACTGATCGGAGTCACGATGGAGACCTGAGGGACCAACTAATGGGCTTGAAGAACGCCTCGCTTGGTAGGACCCTTCCGGGAGGCGTGCAAAGGAGAGGAGAAGACATCATAAGGATTATTCCGCAGGATACAGGCCTCATCTCTAGCGATGGGGGGGATCCATCAATACATTTATCGTTATCGTTAGAGAGTGGAATAAAAGTAAGAATAGGTGGCGGTATTTCTACCTTTGGCACCTCTCGCAATTAAAAAGCAAAAACCATCCCGATGACGCTTTTGTTATTTTTGTTGTTGCTTTTATGGCAACTGCAGGTAAGCCGCTTCCTGCTATTCTTTTCGTTTGTTTCAATAATCATTTGACGCATAGCGGTATCTCTATCCATACATATATATATATATATATATATATATATATA